TGTTGTTGGTTGTGTGGATTTAACGACTGGTAATGAAGTTTGTGCGACTGGCAGGGCTGTGCTTGTAGATGTTGATGTTCCAGATGATGTGCCTGTTACTTCTTCTAAAGTGGTGGTTTCTGTAGTCGTTGGTTGGCTTGTTAGACCAGTCGTCACCACCTTTGGTGGCCTGGTGGTGGTGGACAAAGGAATCTGAGCTGTGGTAAATTCATTCTCAGTTACAGTCTCAGTTGTTGTTGGTTGTCCAGTTGTTTGAGTAGCTGTAGATGATTTTGAAGTTGTGGACACTACACTTGGAGCTGATAATTCTGTAGATGATTGGGCAGTGGTGCTTCCTTCTTCGACAATGAGAGTAGTGGATGGGATGGCTGGTGTGGTGGTTGAAAGCGTTGTTTCAGCTTTGATTGGTTTTGTTGTTGAAGAAATGCCTTGAGTGGTAACCTCAGACCCAGTTGAAGATTCTACACTCACTGTTGTATATACAAGAGTAGTGACTGGCACAGCAGTTTTCTTTGTTAGTGTTGTTGTTTGTGTGGATTTAATGACTGGTAATGAAGTTTGTGCAACTGGCAGGGCTGTGCTTGTAGATATTGATATTACAGATGATGTGCCTGTTACCTCTTCTAAAGTTGTTGTTGCTGTAGTCGTTGGTTGGCTTGTTAGACCAGTCGTCACCACCTTTGGTGGCCTGGTTGTGGTGGACAAAGGAATCTGAGATGTGGTCAATTCATTCTCAGTTACAGTCTCAGTTGTTATTAGTTGTCCAGTTGTTTGAGTAGTGGATGGGATGGCTAGTGTGGTGGTTGAAAGAGTCGTTTCAGCTTTGATTGGGTTTATTGTTGAAGAAATACCTTGAGTGGTAACCTCAGAGCCAGTGGAAGATTCTACACTCACTGTTGTGTAGACAAGGGTAGTTACTGGTACAGCAGTCTTTGTTAGCATTGTTGGCTGTGTGGATGTTTTTGTCACTGGTCGGACTGTGCTTGTAGATGTTGATGTTTCAGATGATGTGCCTGTTACCTCTTCAAAAGTAGTTGTGGCTGTAGTTGTTGGTTTGCTTGTTAGACCAGTCGTCTCCACCTTCAATGGCTTTGTGGAGGTGGACAAATGTATTTGAGACGTGGTAAATTCAAACTCAGTGGTTTGTTCACCAGTATTCTGAAGTGTTGTCCATGCTTTACCAGTGATCGTTGCAAGGGTTTTTGTAATCGGTGCAATTGAGGTTTCTGATGTTGTTGTTAACCTGCTTGTACTTTGTGCCTCTGTAGAGATTTCAGCTTCTGTTGTTTTGTTTCCTGTCGTGGATAAGGACAGTGTTGATGTTTCAACTGATGATGTTGAAGACATTGATGTTACTGATATCAGTTTTTCAGTTGAATATTTAATTTCTGTAGTAGAAGCAGTTAGAATAACTTCAGTTGTTGGTTGACTTAAATGTCCACTTGTCAGTTGTTCTGGCTTGCTGGATGTGGATAAAACTTTTTGAGCTGTGGTTGTTTCTTTTTCAATTTCAGGTGAAGTGTATTCTGTGGGCAAGTTAAGTACAAAATAAAATGTGAATACTTACAAAAATAAACATATCATTCAAAAAGCAAATAAATTAATAATTTGGTGTTTAAAATATGTTCAGAGTTTAAATAATAATAATAATAAAAAATCAACTACATTGTCCAGAGAAGTTGTGATCTAATTTTAAATGAATGAAAATATATAATGTTTATTACAACAAGCTTACTACAATTCTTCCCAGTAGAACTAATGCATAAGCTTTTATTTGCAATGCTTGAGACGTAAATATATATAAGATCAGGAATAAGTGTGTACCACAGAAATGAAAAAGTACCTGGGGTGCTGAAGACAAAAACTGTTGTCGGGGTTGCTGTTAATGTCTGTGCTGTGGTCACGGTGGATGTGGTTGTTGGGACAGTAGTCATTTCACAAGGTATCAAAGTCCTCTCAATAGTTCCATTGACTGAACATCTGCCTGTGATACAACCTCCCAGCCCATCCGTTGTGTGATAAATAATATCTCCAAAGTTGTACTCCATATTGTTGTATTGGCATGTACATGCTGTAAACAGAGACAAGGTATATAGAAAAGTTATAAAGTGTAATGAAAGAGTATATGATGAAAGTAGATTCTGCTTGTACAATATTCAAAATAATCTATGACTGAAATGCTAAAAATCTTACCATTTACATCAAAGTCACAGATAACACCAAATGATGAACAATAACTGTATGAGGGAAAAACACAAATAGGTTGGCTTAAAAACATTTCAAAACTGTTAGTGACTTATATGAAACATGAATATGGGTAGAAAATGTATAGACATACCACAACTGACAGTTCTCTGTGGTTGGCACCTGCTGGCCAACCTGATAATGTAACATTTCAACAAAACAGCCACAATCTTCCTGTGTCACACACTTCATGTTATCCTCATCAAAAATAGGCTGCTCGGGAGGGCATTTAGGATAGCAACCTAAAAAGGTTCAAAGGGAAAAATATATAAATCAGATTTTTTTTTAAATAATAATAATAACAGAAATCCACCTTCATGAGGATGTGTGAAGTTCAAATTAAGTTCAATAGATATTAGTGAATTAATTGTTGTGACAAATCTTTTGAAGACATTGTTCCATATACTCCAAATACTGTCCAGTTTAGAGAATGGAGCCTATTATATGTATTTTTCATGATTCAAAGCCAAGGTGATACAAGTTTGAGTGATATTATGAACAATATACATTTCCATGAATACTTGACAAAAAATCAATTTGAATAACTTTGAAGCTAAAATGTTAAAAAGCCTGAAGCAAAATCTCCTCTTCTTGTTATCTGATATGTGATCTACATTACTGATACCCAATAAAATTGGTATTGTAATCATTTTTGTCACAAGTATTAATAGTTTTCTCACTATCATGCAGATGATATAACTGGATTTAATTATGAGTTCTCACCTTCAAGTGCTGGTATCTGACTAGAGCAGTTTCCAGAGGGGTTTCTGCATGTCTGCATACAAGGTGCTCCACAAGGTTTGTAATGCCACTCACATTCACCAGGGGGGTTGTAATAATCACAAAACAATGCTGCAATGACAAAACAAAACTGTTTCTTGGTTTTTGAGGTTTACAGTTTTTAGTCATTCCTCCACAACACATCTGATGACAGTCATATAACTATCAGTGACTTACGGCATATTTTAGGTGATCTCCAGGCAACGCAGGCTCCAGCCTCATTACAGGCTTGTGCATAGGCTGTTACAGCAGTGCAAAAACACTCATAATCTCCACCACTATCACAGGCACATGCATCTCTCACACAAGCATCATAGAAAGGAGAGGGGTCCACCTTTAAAGCAATATTCATAACAATGTTGCAGTTACCAAAAGTGCATTTGATGTTTTACACAAAATATACTTATATGGCTATTCAAGCTCCCTAAAGAGCAGTTTGTTGTAAGTACCTGTGAATGACAGGTTGAGAAGACACTGCTAGTAATGATGCTGCACTGCCTCTGTGCCCACGCCTCCCTGTAAGGATTATGGACACATGGATCTTGGATGAGGGTTGCATCTGGACAATTAGAGAGCTTCCAGCTGTTTACAAAATCCAGGGTTTCGACAGCAATTGCTTGACTGCGTGTAGTGAAGTCATTGTTTGCGTTTCCATCATAGTTTCCGCACAGACCACAAACGCGGCCCTGTCGAAATAAATGGAAAACTGTTAATATATCAAATAAATCTGAAATTTGCAATTAATAAATTGAGTTGACAAGGGTGGAGTTGATGAACCAACCACTTTACTCACATGAAACTCTGGACTCAGTTTGATGTGTATAGTTGTTTTTCTGTCCCATATGAGCATCAGACCATTATTGGCCTCAATCAGCAAGTAAATTCCCATGGTGCGCATCTGGTAGGGAATCTCCTCTCCTGAATCTCTATGAACAACTTGGTAGGATCCATCTGTCAGTCTAAGCTCATTGCTCTGAAATATAATGGCATAATTGCAATGTTTAATCTTCACTAATTTAAGGTTTGATATGACTGCTATGAATGCGAGAAGTTAACTTACGCCAAGAAACAGCTTGATAGCCTTGGAACAAGTGGTGCCGGTGGATCCACAAGGAATGTTTTCAGTAATGACTCTAAAAGTGCCGGTGGCGTTGTTACAAAAGTCCTGATCGTGGCATAAAATTTTGATTTAGATGATAAAGTTACAGTATAAAGATCGTCAGGCTTCGTAAGGAAGTGCAAGGTTAATACCTGAACAAGGCTGTATTCACAGTTTCCACTGAAGACATATCTTTTCTCATCAAACGTTTTATAATGGCCGTCTCCATAGATGCTGCATGTCCCACTGCACTGGTTTGTGGTACAGATCCATCGTCTATCCTTACAAGTACTATAAAAAGGAATGCAAGGTCATTATGAAAAATTGTATATAGAACATTAATATAATTACAAATCTTGAACAGCTTAACATACCATGTATTACAGTCAGTCTTAATGCTTTCTCCAGGTTGGTAGGCAACTCCGTTATGGAAGCAAGGGCACAGGTTTTCAGCGATACAGCCACCTTTCCCATCAGACACCAGTCCAGAGGGGCACACACAGCCAGACACACACTCTGTGCTGATCTGCAGTTATTCAACATAAAAGTCATTGCATATGCAATATTTCGACAAATTATTACTTGTAACTGCTGAAAGGAATAGTTTACCCAAATATTACAATTCAGCATTTATTTACTCCAACGCCATTCTAAAGCCATATGCTGTTATTTGCTCAGTGCAACACAAAGGGGGAGTTTATAAAGTATCTTCACTCTTCTCTTTACTATACATGGTAGTCAGGTTCCAAAAATGTGAAAGTTTTTTTTTGGTAGTATTTTTTTTAATATCTTCCAAAATCTCCATTCCACACATTACAACTGGGCTGGCAATACTTTTATTGCGTATTTATGGTGTTTTATCACCCATATTGCAGTTTTATTGTTGTTGTACTTAAAGACTTAAGACTACTCAAAGAAAAAAAGTAGCATACTGGTTTAGAATAACATTAGAACGACCTACTCCATTATAGGAATTATATTAACAACTCACGCAGGCCATGTCTAATGTGTTGCAGCTCTTCTGACACTCCGATCCCGTGGATCCAGGGCTAGCGTTGGAGCAGTTGAAAAACGTCATTGGATCTTGGCACTCTAAAAGTATAAAATGGACAAAAAGACTGTTCTCACTTAAGGGTATGCGTGTAGCTGATCTCAAATACAATCACTGATAATATCTCATAAAGTGAAAGCCAGAAACATTTGGTTTTAAATGTATAATTTAAATATAGCTTCACACACCTTCCCCTTTTGATACTCCAGTACAGCTCAATTTCCCTTGCTCGCAAATACTGAAATGTAAATATTAGGTTAAATATTATTAAATCACATTTTGGGCAATAGTCTACAACAGGGTTTTTCAAACTGAAGTGCATGGACCCGCTGCGTCCCCTGGATTGAGTATTACTATAATATTCAAGAGAAAAGGAAGACTTGAGAAAATCTAGCATTACTCTAATAATGTTACACTTTGAACTTAATACAAAAAAAAAAGATTAACATGAGTGCAATGATAATATTGGTATATATTCAATATTTGCCCATTTCTCTCACAGTTAACCTAATATAACTGGGTTTTATATATATATATATATATAAAAGTCGCCAGTTTTATATTTCATAAGGAGGTGCCTCAGGGTTGCCATATTTGGGGGTCCCTGACATCAAAAACTTTGAAAAACCCTGCCTACAACAATTTTCTCAACAGCAATTTAACCAACTCCATGTACATACCATGATCCTCCATCTTTTGAGATTATGTCTCCAGCAGGAATAATTTTGCCTGAATCATAACATGAGCAGCTGGCAGATGCAACACAGTCACCATTCTCGTTCATGTACGTTCCTTGTGCGCAGCCACAGCCATCTACTGGCACGAAGTCAATAGCGCAGGTGTTGTCTGATTGGCTGAGGGATCGGCAAGTGCGGTCACAGCTGGTCATTTGATAAGAGTAGACCGTGGTGCTGGGGCAGGTTAGCGTGTAGGGTTCTGAGAAGAAAGAGACCGAGAGCTCTCACATACTTGAAACACAAAAAGAGCTTGTCGAGCTGTTGACAGCTATCAAATATTCTCAAGCCTTCCAGAGAAGAAAGCAACTCACTGCAGGCAACTTCTCTCCAGCCATCAAGAGCGATCCCTCTTGCAGCACATGCATGAACGTATGAAGACAAAGCAGCACACATGCAGTCCTCACTTTTCTCACAGTTGCAGCTGTCATATATGCAATTCTAGAAAGGATGTAAAAGTTAGAGAAAACTCTAGAGAAAACAATTCAAGAGAAGTAACGTAATTTTACTTACTGCTTTGTAGACTTCAGGGCTGATTTCAGAGTGGCAGGGGGCAACCCCGGTTGGGGGTTTTGTAAGAGGG